TGGCCCAACATTCAAGTTTTGAAAATTCTATCGAACATCAAAACGGTCAAGCAGTTGCTGTCTTTGACGATGCGGACTCTACTTTCTATTACAAGTGTAGGTTCCTTAATTTCCAAGACACCTTATATTCAAAGGGACGACCAGTTTTTTAAGGAGTGCGACATCTATGGAAATATAGACTTTATTTTTAGAGATGGACTTGTTACGTTTCAAGACTGTAACATATATATTCGGTTACCGAGCAATGAAACCACAGTCACGACGCAGTCCAAGAAACCTTTGTTGAAAAACTGCTTCTCATTACAAAACCAAATATCATAAGAAAAATCAGAAGGAATCGAAAAAATGATCTCTAACATCTCATTTTCATTCTTAAATATATATTTTTAATTAAATAATTTTTTTATTTGACCTTATGAATTGACATGCACAAGAATTTGTAATTAAATGTGCCAGAACTAGTTTCCTAATTAAATGTATAATATGAACTAATTTCCAAAAATGGTCGAGGAATTCATTAGTTTTCCACTATAAATTTCTATTAGGTCTAAATATGATTATTGTCAAAGATGAAGAACACGTCTTCTTCCCTCCCATTTCTGGGTGTTTTTACCCTTCTTTTGCTATTCATTTTCAGCCCCTCCATGTTAGCTAAGGCAGAAGTCAATAGAACCACCTTTGCACACCATGCTTGCAACAGATTTCAATATAGGCAATTGTATAAGTTGTGCATTCCTGAGATCGATTCAGATCCTCGTGAAGATTTGAAGTCAAATTTGACAGGTATTTTAATTATATTTGTGAATCATAGCATCAGTAATTTCAACGACAATATTGTGTTCCTTCAAAAAGAGATAAAGTCTGGAAAGCTAATTGGTAAAACAAAAGAGATGTATGATTCGTGTTTGGATGATTTTAAAAGAGGAAATAATGCATTGCAAGAGGGAATGCACATATTGCTCACACAAAAGGGGATAGATGTGTATATGTTGCCGACCATGAATGTTGCTAGTTATGTAAGCGACTGTGTAGATTATTATGAAGGAGTTCCTATTTCACCTGAGTGGCAGTCTCGTTACAACACTTCATGGAACTTATCGTTGCTCATTTTAATAACGTCTAATCTCATAAAATGTAATCGTGACATTGCATGTATCCCTTAATTCTTATTTATAATAAATTTGTCTACTTAAGTATTGACTATTGACTATGTGCCCGATTTTCTTTATTAACCCAAACTTTAATGGAAAGAAAAGGTTCACAAACAAATCTCTTATTTAGAATATTTACTGTCTTTAGAACGTTAAACATTCTATTTTCATATTGTTAGTTTTTTTTTCTTCTTTTGTTATATACTATGAGTTCTTAAAACTCATGACGACTAGTTAATAAATAAAATTTACATATAATTAATGTACAGAATAGTAGCACATGATTTGTGACGGTGACAATTATGATAAAGACTAATACCGTTCATTAATGATATAACCCATCATCATCATCCATATCTCCAATTTGATACTCTTTGTAGTGTTTATGGAAAAAAAAAAAAAACATTTGATGGTAACCGAAGATGTAGTAACCTACGAATTTAATGAACTCATACACAATTAGAGGGTTGTCCCACCAACGATGGTAACCGAGGGAGAGGTTAGGGATGATGAATGCACACAGCCCACTCCCCCTATTTCATGATCGACCAAGCTGACATGCTACCCATTGGCGCCATCGCCCCCAGGTAACAACTTCCACAAAGCACAGTTTCTACCACTCTGCCCCAAAGCTGTGTTTGACACAGCAGCAGGCACCTAAGATTAGTTCATGCTTGTCCTCTCAATTTGTTTGCTCTTCTATGCTTCTCCAACTTTAAAGATGGCATTTTTACAGCTTGCTGCAGGTTTCTTTTTCTGTTTTGTCAACTTTTTGACACTTGTTGATTCCATCCGTTTTAATGCAATTGTATCACAAAAGCATTAATGATGCAATAGCAGCCGCTCCAGACAATTTTGATACACGATTTTACATTTGTGTAACTCTCGACACTTACCATGAACATTCATATCTGGAGCGGCTGCTATTGTATCATTAATGCTTTTGTAATCTCCCGATCCATCTAATGCTCCTATTGCATTAAAACGGATGAAATCAACAAATACAAGAAGGTTGAGAGAAAGAAAGATGCAACAAGCTGAAAAATGGCATCTTTAAAATTGAAAAGCAAAATATAAGAGCAAGCAAATTGAGAGAACAAATAAGAACGGTGTAAAGTAAACGAACAAACAAGAGGATGTGGTTTTCAGAGCTTCATGGTGGCCATTTTGTAGAGGGAATTAGCATGAGTTCTTCAAAGTTCTATCAATTTAAAAATGGACCAAGTTTATTTGAATGAACAAGGATCATAATCAAAACAGAACATAATATTCCAAATACAGCATCATTAATGAAGAACTGCAGGGATGATTATCAAATAAATGGCACAATATTCTAAATCCATATTATTCTCTCGTACTCTAAATAGCCAAAAGTTCATATGGGGATTGTTCATTTATTCACTCTGATCTCCTCTTTTAGCCTCACATTCATATTCATATAACTCTGATGTGACAATCTCATTGAATTTTTTTATAACTTTGATTTCTAGTGTTCGAGAAATTAATCGTAGGAGAAAAAATTGGAGGTCATGCTCATAAGTCTTCTATTTACAATTAAAATAAATTTTTCAAGGAGTGCGACATCTATGGAACAGTCGACTTCATTTTTGGAAATGGACTTGCTTTGTTCCAAGAGTGTAATATATATGCAAGTCCCAAGACTGTAATATATATGCTCGGTTATCGATGAATGATATTGTAGTCACAGCATAGTTCAAAGAAAAATCACACCTCCCCTTAATCGAGGTTTGACTCTACTAATACCATGTTAGACGAACACGACTCTCCACAATGGTATGATATTGTCCACTTTAAGCATAAGCTCTCATGGTTTTGCTTTGGGCTTCCCCAAAAGGCCTCAATCTAATGGAGAGTATATTCTTAGATTATAAACCCATGACCATTCCCTAACTTAACCAATGTGGGACACTTTCATCTAACAAGATTTTCGATTTGTATTTTCGAGATTGATTCGGATCCTTGTGAAGATTTGAAGTCAAATTTGACAGATCTTCTAATTATATTAGTGAATCATAGTATCAACAACTTTAAAGACAATGTTTTGCTCCTTCAAAGAGAGATAAAATCAAGAAAGCTAAATGGTGAAACAAAAACTATGTTGGATATGTGTTTGGAAAATTTTGAAAGAGGAACTAGTGCTGACCCAAACAGGGATAGACAGTTTTAACTTATCAGTGCTTAATATTCCTAACTATATAAGAGATTGTGTGGACGAATTTGAAGATGTCCCTAAACCACCAGAATATCAATCTCGTTACTAACACTTCATGGAACTTGATGCTTCTCATAGCATCAATGTGTAATGTCATGAAATGTAATCGTGTAATCGCTTGTATTACTTGATTATAACTCATGCTTTATTTTAAATAAATTTGAAGATTAATTCCTTGATTTACCGACGATGATGAGTGTTGATAAACATATAAATTTGTGTGCGGATGATTTTGAAGGTGACCCTATTCTATCAGAGTGACACTCGTTGCAACACTTCATGGAATTTAGTGTCTCATAATCTGAAGCCTCATGTATCCGTTGATTATTATTCATGTTCTTATTCAGAATAAGAGTTTGTCTGCACGAGTGTTGATTACATCGGTTATTTTTCTCGGTCATAGAAACTTCAAAATTAAACGTCTTATTATTTTTTTAATTAATTTTTTTTTCTATTTTTGATTAAGGTGGGGAGTGCCCAAAAAACAAGGGGCACCCAACCCTCTTCTTTCTCATGTCACATGGGTTTGTCTCCCCACCGGTCAAAGCCTTTTTTATTTTTATTTTGTTTTGTTATATATTTTTTCAGACATAGACCGTTTACCTTAATAGACGGAAATTGACGAGAATAATAATAGAAGGAATTGCCTCCCATAAAAATCCCCCTTTATTTTATTTTTAAAAATTAAAAAGCTAATGAGATATCACATTCGAGAGAAGAAGGAAATATTTCTTACACAAGTGTGGAAACCTCTCCCTAGTAGACGCGTTTTAAAAACAGTGAGATTGACAACGATACGTAACGAACCAAAACAGACAATATCTACGAGTGGTGGTAGACTTGGGCTGTTATAAATGATATCAGAGCCAAATATCAAGCAATGTGCCAGCGAGGACGCTAGACCCCCAAGGTGGGTAGATTGTGATATCCCACATCGATTGGAGTGGATCCTTATAAGGGTGTGGAAATTTCTCCCTAGTAGACGCGTTTTAAAAATCATGAGGCCGACGGCAATACGTAACGAACCAAAATAAACAATATCTGTTAGCGGAGGATTTGGGTTGTTACAAATGATATCAGAGTCAGATACCAGGCTATGTACCAGCGAAGACAACGCTGGATCTCTAATGGGGGTGGATTGTGAGATCTCGTATCGGTTGGAGAGGGAAACAAGTCATTTCTTATAAGAGTATGGAAACCTCTCTCTAAGACACAACTATACGTAATGGGCCAAATCGACAATATCTACGATGGGCTTGGGCTGTTACAGACAATCTCCTCGAACAAATTCTTAAAATCACTCGAATTTAAGCCACCGCTCAAATATCAAATTGCCGAGACAACAAATAGGTGCAATTAAATTAGAACTTTTTAGATGAAAAGGTAGATATTTAGAATACAAGCATTTAAAGTCATTGTCACTCACTCACTACCCATATCAAACTATCTCCTTCCTCTCATGTGGCTACCATTTCTTGTAGTGAATCAAAATCTATGGACCCAACTTTGTCTTCAATGAAATTACAACTAAACCCAATTTCAAGAACAAAAATTTTAAACATTTATATATAATTAACACCAAAATCCTCCTCCATTGCAACACCCAACAAGCAAAAATGGTAACTCCCAAAACCCTAACTAAAATAGCCCATAAGTGGCAGAAGGCGATCATCTCCACCGGGCGGCGGCGGCGGCGGAGGATCTCACTGCCTAGAACAAGAAGCTCCTCCAAGGTGGCCGACAAGGGCCATTTTGTGGTCTACACATTGGACCAGAAACGGTGCGTTTTGCCGATAAGCTATTTGGGGAACTATGTCTTAAGGGAGCTGTTGAAGATGTCGGAGGAGGAGTTTGGGCTGCCGGCGGATGGGCCGATAAAGCTGCCGTGTGAGGCGGCGTTTGTGGAGTATATTGTGTATTTGATTCGACGACATGTCGACTTCGAAGTGGAGAAGGCTCTGGTTCTGTCGGTTGCTCCGGCGGTGAAAGGCTGTTGTGGTTCTAATTTATTCTCGGCGGTGGCACGGGTGGCGGAAGCTAGCTGGCCGGTGATGATTCATGGGGTTTGAGATTTGTATGGACCATGCACAATTTTATTAAGGAATTCGGCCTCGTACTAGTCATAATTGTTGGAAGACGAAAGTCTCATATTAACTAATTTAGAGAATGATCATAAATTTATAATCAAATAATACTATTGGAATGAAGGTTTTTTATGAAGCCCAAAACAAAATCACTACAGCTTATGCTCAGAATAGACAATATCATTATTTTATAAGAGTGTACTATATTTAAAAAAATACTCATAAAATTGAGTATTTTTATTAATTTAGCTTAATTTTTAAATATTTATATTTTTGTTAATAAAATTTAAAATATTTAACCAAAAAAAAATATCCCTCCATGGATTTAAGTTATTTGACTTTTAACTTTGGTCAAAGTCCCCCATACCCTCCTAATTCCAACATCTCTTATTAAAAAAAGGAGAAAAAAAATGATTGATCAATAGTCAAAGGGGGATATAATATGGAAAATATAACATAATGTGGTCAAAATATTTGGATTAATTATACTTGATTATCATATTGTTAAATTAATTATTAAAAAAAAACAAAAAAAACAATAACTAGGCTAGTAATGTTTCAAAGGGCTTTGTCATAAATATTTATTTGTTCATGTAATTATTTTTAACAAAAATTAACTAGTTTAAATATTCATGTAAAAAATTAAATTTATTTAATTTTAATGATTAACTTAAATTTTGAAATCAAACCATAAACGATCCCATGACTAAAATTAATCACAAAATTAAGTTCGTTAAAAGGCGTCAAATATAAATAAAATGGTTATTAAATTTTATATTTAACGACGAATTTCAGTGACAAAATTTAATTTAATATTAAAAATAATATAGGTCAATTAACTTAACCCTTAAATACCAAATAGTTTTAAAATATTTAGTCTAATATATAATTTTGATAATTAGCTAAAAATAAAAACGTATAATTTATTTATTATTATTATTATTTTTTTTTTTTTTTTTGGGAGAAAGTCCTTAATTTATATTTTTAGTTGACCAGCTTCCTTAATCGTATTTTGAACGCCGTTGGTTTTTCCAAATATTTTAAATTTATCATAATATTCATATAAACTTAATATTAATGCTAATTTTCTTTTTAATAAATAAAAAAAAATGGGAAAAAAACGTTTATGGGTCAAATGAACTTATTCGTTAGAATTCAACCATTGATAATTTAAGTTATTAAATCATTTATTCAAACTTTGTATATAAAATATTATGAAAATGATAGTAACTTTATATATATATTCAAGATTTGAATGGTTTTATTTAATTATAGTTTGATGTCATGTTTTATTTTATATAATTAAAAAAAATTATACTAACGACCTACGTCAGACGAACACGACCCTTCACAATGGTATGATATTATCCACTTTGAGTATAAGCTTTCATGGGTTTGAGTGGGCTTCGCCAAAAAGCCTCAAACTAATGAAAATAGTATTTCTTGATTATAAACTCATGATCGTTCTCTAAATTTGAACTTTCATCATCCAATAGCCTAGACAATTAATTTTTAATAACGTTTTGAAATGAAGTTAAAAACAAAAGTTTAAAGATATTTATTTTTTCGTGATTCAACTGGACCAATCTAACGTTCTACTTCAACGTTTCGGTCTAATTTGGTTAAATTTGGTTAAGTTAGAATTATTTTCGATATAATTGATTCAGGTTGTTCTTAGGAACTTATTAAGTATATTCGAGTTAGAAGTAAATTTTGGACTGAGTAGGTTGTTCACTACTAATTAACTTGTGGTAAGATATTTTTCTTATCGAAAGACCTAGACGTAATTATATGTATACATTTGTCTATTCCGAGATTTTGCAATTGTTGTGTATACATTGAAATATGTGTATAATTATTCAACGGACATCTTCCATGTACTGAACAACATGATGTGTATGAAACAAAACTTATGACAATTACTTGTCAGTGAATTAGGTCATTATATCATCTAAGTCACACGCCGGACAACCTATATTTTGATTCCCGATATTGACGTTTAGCTACAAGCTAAATGGTGAGTTATACAACGCTTATCCTCTATCTATGACGTTCGTTGAAGTATTACAATAAAATGCCTCAAATATAAATTCTTTCTTATTTATTTGTTTGTATATAAGATAAGAACAAACATCGATATTAGTAATTAAAAGACTTTATACGTAACGATGATGTTCGTTCCTAAATACTCATTAATGATTTTGTATGTTCTATAACTAACATAGATATAGACAATAAGATATATATCACCTTCTTTTATTAATTATTACTAAATTATATCAAATTCGACACTTTCAAAAAAAAATTAAATTATTTTTAAAATAAATTGATGTGATAATTGATACGAAAGAATTAAAAGACGCACGATATTATTTATAACTATATAAAATAATTTTATTATTTAGACCGAATCAAAGTGAAGGAGATTTTTTTAAATAAAAATGAGATAACGTTACATATATTTTAATAATGTGTTTACAATTAATAAGATATATTATTTTAAGGAATACTTTCATGTGAAAGAACAAGATATTTATTGGTCAATATACCAACTTTAATTTTTTTTTTATTTTAAAAAATTCCCATTTGAAATTGGGTTAAAAATAGTTGAACCAATCAAAAGTTTTTATTATTATTATTTACATGGTTCATAAATTAATAAAAATATTTATAAATTTTGTAATTTATTTAAATTAATAATATTTCAAAACTGTCGGTAACCTGCTGGTCCCACATTGGTTGGGAAGGAGAACAAACATCATTTATAAGGGTGTGAAAAATTTTCGCTAGCAGTTATGGTTACATCACCGAAGGTCCCATTGGGGTGCATCCAGTGAGAATTGAACCTACAAATTCGCCAATTATGAGTTGGGCGCTTTAACCATTCAGCCATGGTGAATAACCAAATTCCAATTAAAATGAAATCTTTAGTATAAATCAATGCAATTTAGGAGGACTTAATTAATGAACGGCCATCAATTCAAATCTTGGATTTTCGAATTGAGAGAGATCAAGGATTCTCACTATTTCTTAGATTCATGGACCCAATTCAATTCAGTGGGATCTTTCATTCACATTTTTTTCCATCAAGAACGTTTTATAAAACTCTTAGACTCCCGAATTTGGAGTATCCTACTTTCACGCAATTCACAGGGTTCAACAAGCAATCGATATTTCACGATCAAGGGTGTAGTACTATTTGTAGTAGCGGCACATTTTTTTCCATCTAGAACGTTTTATAAAACTCTTAGACTCCCGAATTTGGAGTATCCTACTTTCACGCAATTCATAGGGTTCAACAAGCAATCGATATTTCACGATCAAGGGTGTAGTACTATTTGTAGTAGCGGTCCTTATATATCGTATTAACAATCGAAAGATGGTCGAAAGAAAAAATCTCTATTTGATAGGGTTTCTTCCTATACCTATGAATTTCATTGGACCCAGAAATGATACATTGGAAGAATCTTTTGGCTCTTCCAATATCAATAGGTTGATTGTTTCGCTCCTGTATCTTCCAAAAGGAAAAAAGATCTCTGAGAGCTGTTTCCTGGATCCGAAAGAGAGTACTTGGGTTCTCCCAATAACTAAAAAGTGTATCATG